AACTTGAGTTCTTTCAGCGCCCAGCTGGAGCTCTCAAAGTAGAGGGAAACACAGACATCTTTTATAGGACTCCACTCTCTTAACTTTAATACCTAGTAATAAGCAGATTTAAAATAATTTGTTTTCCCAGTCACAATGTATTCTATTTTTAAAAGCTGTGTCATATTTTCCAATAAAGTGAATTAGAAGATACCAGCTGTGCACTACGGACAAGAAAGCTGTTCGGAGCACTTTTTAAATTGTTGGGATGAAGAGTGTAATTTAAATGGAGTTCTGTATTATACACAGCAATAAGACACAGGACTTGCTGAAGGTTTTGCTTAGTAATTTAAAGCTATATTTATTTTGGACAAGAGCAATGTTGTGACCTAAAATGAAAGTTTGATAGTACATTATTAAGAGAGAATTGCAATGATTATGGGCAGCAGTTCCAAAATATCAAAACTCTACTTCAAGTATTGATAACAAGTTTCTCATTCTCACAGTGTTCATTATATACTTGATTCCACTTTCACAGATGAAAATCAAAGTTAACTTTTATGAATCTCTTAAAAGTGCCAGAAGAGGCAAAATATTTAATTTTTCAAACTGCTTTTAAATGGTTTAATCTTCAAGCCTTTATTATACGTTTTCCTGTCCTGGTGAAACAGAAATATAGTATGACTAACATCATGTTTTAATTATTAGAGGGCAAAATAGAATTATAAAGTTATATATTAAATTAGTTTAAAATGTAAGAATTAATTATATATGTCTGAGCCCAGATATTTCAGATATTTAAGAAAAATGGGTCATTTCTCAAAGTCTACAGCATGGTATAGTGCAAGGTTCCCCATGTAAATGTCAAAATTCTAGATTCTGAAATTAATCTGGGCTTCACTTAGCCTTTGACTTTCAGTTCCTTTATTTGAAAGAGTGGAGAGAAAAATGTATTCTCATCTTCCCTATCATGTACGGTTGATGTATGATGATCATATTAAATGCAGAAGCAGGTTTACTATGTGAGTATTAATCATTTTTTTCAAGCTTACAGTGCATAAAGCACTATAGTAAATACTGGATAAAACTACATATAAGATAATCGCTGCCCTCTAAGAACTCAGTGGACACAAATGATTCCTCCCTGCATGGAAAGAATTAAACATTACCTCCTTTGCTCTCCAGAACAATTATTCTGTTTCATAATGTTACAGAGCTTACCAGTGTACCTGTGGTAAAATAATCTTGACTATATCTAGCTGTACCGTTAACTTGAGGTTCCTTTGAAGAAGAGACTGTCTTTTGAATCTGCATGTGCCTCTTCCACAGATAAAATGCCCAGTTAAAATATACTGGTGAAATAAGTAAATGAACAAACGATTGATAAAACAATAAATAAAGAGTAGAAATAAACCCTTTGTTATTAAAAACTAAAAGCACAGACTTTTCAGTGAAAAGTTCCCTTAATTAACTAGTGTGAGAATTGTTACCAGTGGGAAGCTAGTCGACTATTAACTAGCTCTCTGATTCCCTTCCTCCTCTTCCCTCCAAAGTGAGTCTTGATTTGCATTGTTTCCCATTTTCAGTGGTGTCGATATTTCTACTTTGGTCAGTTCAAGCTAATGATGTGACTTCATGTAGGGAAACAAATGTGCACACCCTGCCCTCCCTGGCCACACAAGCCGACTCCAGCACACCACTCACTCATCACCACTCAACTCTGCCTTTACTTTGACTCCCATTGTTCAAATTGTCTTTCCTATTTTTAAAATGTGTTGCTGAAGTTCAGGTGAGTAAACTTGATTTTGTGTTTTAATTTTTTTATGGAACTCAGGAGAGTGAAGTTAAAAACAGGTTAAGTTCCAAGGAAACATTCATGAGACAAATTATGCCATTTATGGTTGTTGGAGTTCACTTAAAGGTTTTCAGACCACTTGGTTTGGCTCAAGGACCAGGGAAGAAGGAGAGCGTGGGTACCATTACTTACTCAATTGTGTTTCGGTCCACTTTCCCTGTCATGTTAATGCCATAAAACTGCTGCATGGCAGCTAAGGCTGACTGCATGGTTTCCGCAGAGCGCAGCACAGACATCCTGGGGTCAGTCGGTGGAAGGTAGCCGTACTTCTGCAACCAGACCTACAATCACAAGCACAGTTTCTTTTAGATCAACTGCACAATTGAACAACTTGATGGTCATTAATTTATGTCTATCACTGACTCTTAAATTTTATTTCCTCTACAAGGAGAAATATTTCTCTTTTTTTAACATTTTTTATTGATTTATAATCATTTTACAATATTGTGTCAAATTCCAGTGTTCAGAAATATTTCTTAACTGTTTCATCTCTTTTTAACACATATTATGTAATTTGGGTTATCTCAGCATAATTTCAGTGGTTGTTATAGATCTTTCCTACATACTAATGAACTCTAATTGTAAAGGAAAAGATTAATCATTTTTTTGCAAGCTGACAGTGCATAAGGCACTATAGTAAAACCTGGATAAAATTACAAATAAGATCATTGTTGCCCTCTAAGAACTCAACTTCCCAAACTGAAGAATGGTATTTTTTTTCAACAATATGACCCTATTGAGATATCTATGCTAGAAGGGAAAATTAATGTGCATATGCCATGTCTAAAGTGTCATTTTCCTGAACAATTAACCACTAACTACAGCTGTGACTAGTAGCATCGTCACATGTCTACCAATTATTCTGTAATGACATTTGGGGTTTGAACTTCATGCAACTTGTCTTATCCAATTGTAGCTGGATATTGTCAAGGGTGAGGAAGTGTTTCTCCTATAAAAAATATTCTTTCATTTACTTAAGGTTATTCACTTCAAACCAAATCATGTAAGTAAGTTAACTTTTCACGTATAGATGAAATCAGACTATTTTGTTAAGAATATTTGGCCCTCTCCTTAGGGATTTGATGATTTTAATTCTCTTCTTCTCAGAGAGGGGAGAGAGATTTGGGAGGATAGTCAGAGAAAGATGTTGACACTGAGCTCACATCCCAATCACAATTACAGCAGAAATGTAGAGTCATTTAAGGTTACATTTTAAAAATAACCCAAAACTTGGGGTGTTGGAGGGGGGGACTTCCACCAGAGGCAGATGCTTTTTAGTTTTACAATTCTATGCATTCATTTTAAATGCACAATCATATGTTCAGCTCCTGTCCCATCCTGCTGTCCCTTGCTTCAATCTTTGGTAAGGCTCTCAGATTCCTTGAAGTGCAGTGAACTACCAGTGAAACTGAGAAAAGCCAAGTAACTCTGCCTTTGGCACAAAAATAAAAGCTGTGGTACTTAATGCAAGGTGCGCACAGGTATACGTTTCCCTTCCCACCTGGGTCTATTCATCATATAACCAATGATCCCGTGAAGTCGCAGCTTTCCCCCAATACCTGATACACTTCCACTATGACCTTACAACTGAAACACAGGAGAGTTATTTTCTCCTTGAAAATAAATAGCAATTATAGAAGTTAAATTTCACCAAAAGAAACAGACATTAAATATATCAAAGCCTTAATGTGTGCAACACAAGATGGAATCCTTTGTGGTATTTCCACCAAATGGATCCCCCAAAACTGCAGTACTATAAGTACAATCCTTTGAAAATAAAACATTTATTCTAAAACTAGTTAAGAGATTAGCAAATGCATTGTTGTCAGGAAGGTTTATTTGTTGAAACTCCATCTAGTAAACTCATCCACCACTTAGTGAAAACATGCCAAGATAATCTTCTCATCTAATCTGTAATGAATAGGCTGCCAGGGAAGACTTATATTCAGTTACCCAGTCAACAGTGGTGCAGTCTGAAATAGACTCCACTTTTTTTTTTCTGAATGAAGGAGACAATATTTCAGCAGCAATGTATTATTTACTAGGAAACTCAATACTTACTGTCCTGCAATTTCACCCAAATTAGAAGAATTCATCTTGATTTTTAATAGCATACATACACTAATATTCTGAAATTGAACTCTTTTTTCCCATAACACTTTGTTTGCATTCATTTCTTACTTGCTAAAGAGCTGACTTGTTGATAGGTTACTCATGAGTGCTAAGCTATTGGCAATCATGTTTATGAGGACAGCAAAGAGAAAACTGTTAATAATAAACCCTCTGATTTATATATAAATGGGAAAACTATAAAATTTTAAACTTTAAGTGCACAATGAAAAAATAGCAAGTTCTAAAAATACAGATTTGATTTATGCCATAGTCTTTTGAACAAATGAGTTTAGAATTATATGAAAAATGAATTGTGATTTTTCTCTAAGTTCTTTTATATTATGTCATTCATCACGAAAGGCTGTTTTTCCAAATGAGTGAGAAGTGAGTAATTA